AAGCACACCAAAAAATCAATAACTATATTCACAAAACTAGGAGCCAAATATAGTGTAACTGCGTTCTTAATTTTTCTCTCTGACGTCAGGATTTTTTTAAAGGACTTTGAAATTTCTAGGATTTGATTGAATTAAAAAATTATTTAAAAGATTTGGTGCATTGTAGAGTAACGATATGGGTATCGGTTAAAAGGGAAAAATTCTGCAGAATTTAAAAAAAAATAATTTTTTGTTGCACCAGGACGAATAAATGTTGAAAATGTCTTTTTAAAACTTTATCCTTGAATATCCTTGGAAAGTTCCATTATTTACTTTTTGAAAAAAGAAAATATATATATCGAGGACTAATATGTAAACTACCACATCCAAAGTTATATTACAGGTCATAAGGGGGCAAAGGTCGGGTCCTCGAAAAATTAAAAACCTTATATTTCAAACAATTTTGAACTGATTTTTAAAAACGTTGGTATCATTTTAAACGTGATTAGACCCCCTTCTTCTCTTATTATATGCATATTTCTATACTTTGTATATATAAATTTTAGAAAAAACATTTAAAAGGAAAAACTAAGTTTTTTTTAAAGAAAATATTTTAAACAAAAATATACTTATACTTTGTATATAAAAATTTGAGAAAAAACATTCAAAAGGAAAAACTACGTTTTTTTTATAAAAAAAAATCATTGAAACAAAAAATTACTAATCGATTTTTAAAAAATTAATATCGTTGTAAACGCAATCAAACCTTCTTTCTTCTGATATGCGCATTTGTATATTTCGTTTATATAAAATAAAAATAAAACACTTAAAATTAAAAAAATACCTTTTTTTATAAAAAAAAATTCACAAAAAAATTACTAACCGATCGCGAAACCCTGGGCCAAATATAGTAAAACTGCGTTTTAAGTTTTTCACTCTGACGTCAGTAATTCAAAAATGATTTCAAAAATTCATAGAAATGTGCTTAGAGAAGAAGTATGGGTATACAATTAATGAGGAAATCCTGGAGAATTTTAAACAGGTTCAAGTTTCTGGTGCAGAAGGGCTGGTAAATATTGAAAACGTAATTTTAAAATTTTTTTAAATTTTTTATTTTTATTTTTATTTTTTTTTTTATTTTATTTCGCAATATTTGTTTTTGAAAAAATTATGTATTAAGGGCTTATAAAAACTCGACAACATCTTCGAATTTCGTCCTTCTAACTTTGTCAGCTAATAAATTACCTATTCGTCTTTGTGAATCCAAATAATTTAAATTTTTTAAATTATAAAGAAATTTCCTATTGCATTTGCTCCCCAAAATTTTAATCTACATTGCATTGAATTTTTTTTAACAATTTTTGGAATTAATCATATCTCTGCAATTACAAATTCCTTCAAAATAAATCGTGCGGTCAGAGAAAACAAAAATAAAAAAGGCGAACTTAGCATAGTGCGTAGGCAACTGGCTGAGTCAGGGGGATCGTCGGTTCGAAACCTACTGAAAGAAGTCTGATGAGGAAATGTGGGGATTTCCGAAATAGCTATCACTTCTACCATTTTTTCAAATTATTGTTGCTTTTCCACAATATGTTTTTCATTAAAAACGGCCTCAAGCTCATTAAAAATGGTTGAATATAAAACTAATAAAGTTAGAAGGACGAAATTCGAGGATGTGGTAGCTAAACATATTAGTCCTCTACATATATTTTTTTCATAAATAAATATTATATAAATCTCTCAGGATATTCATCCTGGTGCACCGAATAAGTTTTTTTTTTTTTTTATTCTATAGGATTATTCCTTTTAATTGATACCCATATTTTTATTTTACAATGCATCGAATCTTTTGAAAATTTTTTTTATTCAATCATATTCTAGAAATTTCAAAGTCCTTTTTAAAAAAAATCCTGACGTCAGAGAGAAAAACAAAAAAAAAAACGGTTTTACTATATTTGGCCCCCAGTTTTGTGATATACTGATTTTTTCGTGTGCAAAATTCAGTGTGGCACGGTGTATAATACCGAGCTTTTGCCCCGATTTGTGGCGTGGGCCTTGATGTTGTCACCAGTGATGCCAACCGGGCAGAATTCCCCCATTTTGTTGGAATTTAAATCTCTCTGAGGAATCGGAGAATGGCTTTAAATTTTGGGGGAATTCAATATAAAAACGATTTTTATTGGAATATTTCTATTGAGAACAATATTACAACTTGTAATAATAATCTCTAATTTAAAACATAACGTAATTGCCTCATGAAACCATGTGGATATTAAAGAAATTTAAACCGAACATATCGAAATTTTTCAGTTGAAGATTATATTTGATACTATCATTTCTTATGGTCTGATTATGGCAACTTAACGTAACTTACGGCTCTCTCTTAGAAATTCTGTAAAATGGGTGTTGCTTATAATTGAACAGCCGAAACTCAACGTAACTTAATGTCACGTCGAAATCTGTTTCATTAAGTTAAGTTGCCATAATCAGGCTTTTACTTCGTTTCGGCGCAAAGCCAAAGCCCGGAAAAGTTTTGAGCAGTCTAATAAAACTAGATATTTATCAATGCATAGAGAATTTTCCCAAAATTAATTTAAAAACCTGCAATCAGAGACAGGCTGGTACATATACTTTGGAGGCAATTTTACTTACAAAACAACTATTTAAAAATAAAACCTATCTTGATTTTAGCGTAACTTGTAGACAATTACAAAAATTTCATAAATAAATATATGATTCTAAGGATTTGCCTTACGAAATATACTCGGAAGTATTAGTGCTATTTATTATTAAAAAGGCTGCCTTCATTATCTCATTATAAATATTTTTTAATAAAAATGAGAATGAAATGCCTTAAATAGTAAAAGTTATTTTGGGGAAAAGTTATATAGGGGAACTTTTTCAGGAATTTGGCCAAATACGCGGCCAAAAACAAATTAAAAAATGCTCAAATCAAACATTTATTTTGTATATATACATATATATATATATATGAGGTGGATTTCACCGATTTTTTTTTACATAGGGCGTGTGTGAATCAGTAACAAAGTTCTGTGGGGAAAGCTGTTAAATAATAATTTTACTATGGTAAGACAGTTTTGCCAATCTGCTGTGTGAAATAAAATTTTTTTTATTGCAATTCATCGAATTAAACTTTTATTTAACGAAAAATTACACACATCAACAATCTTTGCGATTGTCAAAATTTTCCATGCATTTGTCAAAAATTTCACTAGCCTCATGAGTTACTGAAATTTTATTCACCTAATAGTTGTCAAAAATTTACTCGCCGCGAACTTTGTTACCGATTCACACACGCTCATAATAATATTACTTTCCTTAAATTTTAAGTGGTATAATATCTAGTTATTTTAAAGGCATACAACTTTAAGCAAAGAATAAACTTGGCTCTAAAATGAAAAAAAAAAAATAGCACGTTCACTGAGTACACCATTCCTATTCTTCGAAGGCAATATATCACAATAACCACAAGAATGGCAAAGATTTTGGGAGTGGGACAAACCTCACTCCAAATAAGGCAAAGTTTATAGCTACTGCTCGTATAAATTTTGTTTACTTACGATATTTTCTTGGTCATTTTCCCTAACTCCCACTGTGTATTTCGCGGCGTGTGCATGCGATACAAATTTTCGAAAGCCATACAATTTTAGCTGCTTATTGGCCCTCACCTGTCTATATAGCTAAGTATGTATGTATCTACGTAGGTATGAATTTGTGTATGTGTACATTTATGATTGTATGCAAGCCTGTTTATTTTTAACAACCAGTCGACCGACCAGCCATCCACTTACCCATCAGTGCTCGCTTTATAGAACAATTTTGATTGTTGTTCTTTGGATACAATAAAGTTGCGGTGAGCCACTTCGCTTAACTGGGGCCGATTGTCATATTCACATTCATGGTTGGGGGTTATCTTATTTCGAATGCTTTTGCCAAGCTCGTGTTGGTAAATTTCTAAGGCGGTGTACTGTTTCTACCGGGAATTGGAATGTGAATTTATATCAGTATTTTATTTTTATTTTTTACCAATTTTACCTTTTTGATGGGTCATAACATAAATGAAATTGTTTTTCCTACGCACAGGCATTCGAGCAGAGATACACACATAGGTACATATATACACTCTTAGGTACTTGCAAATATATTTTTATTAAAATTTCTGGTTTTCTTCTGCTTGGCGGCGAGTATCCGATTGGATTTGCTCTCATCGCGCTTAATGGGAAATGATAATGTATGAACGACGAAAGCAAAATGTAGAAGAGTAATGTATTTATGTTTATGTATATTTATTTAATGCTTAAAATTAATATTATTTCGGGAGAATTCGATTTTAAAACAAAGAAAATTAAGTTAATCCTCATTAGTCCCTTAAATCACCAACCAAGTTTGTCCTTAGGTTCATTTTTGATCTTGCGAAACTAAAGGGTTCTCTTGTTAAACAAATTTATCTACGTAGCTGATTGCATAGAAATTTGTTGCACATTCCACATTTGCTCTGTGTTTGTTGTATAGGATAAAAACTTCACCGAGAAAGGGCTCGTTACTTCATCTCCGTTTTGGCACGTTTCCTGTTAGCTAATTCCGTTGGCAGTCTTCACCTTCCGTGGGGGCTATAAATGCGCCCTTCAGCTCTAAATCGGCCTATTTTATAACAGACAGCCAGCGGCATCCCAGGTGATTTAACTCATTTTAGTATACTTTTCTTATTTTAATAAACGTGGGCTTTACACTGTTTAAACCTATACTTTTTAATACCACTGGGGACAAGGGCATTCGCTTTTACTAAGTAAATAGATTATCTTAAAGAATCGGCTCCATATTTGATCCCCGTTGTCGGAATTCACGATGATTTCTGGCCCCCAAATTGCCCCGCTCGAACAAGGGTATTTTATGATCCTTGGGACCAATTGGTAGCAATAGCCAAAAAACATTCCAATTCCAACGTAAAATTCCATGGGAAACAAAATTAAAAATTTTTAGCAGAAAAAACTAAAGAAAAAAATTGGATTGATCGGACCTAAAACAAGTGTGCAAATCGGATTTAAGATTTAAAAAAGGTAAATTTTTGCCCTACGGACTAATGAGGGTTGAAGTGTAAGTAAGGTTCCGTTGGTAGTTTATATTGCCAGCATACGGCTTATGCAGCGAAAGATTGCCAGAACACATATAGGGTACTCACAGTTCTATATCATCCACTGTGTTAATTTTGCAACCTGGTAACTTTAAAACATTTTACCATGTGGTAACTTTGTTTGTTGTTGGTTCCCATACTAATTAGAGATAACACTTTTGGGCAAAATTACTCGACTTTGTCTCATGTTTTTGTTTTGTGTTAAACTGGCATCTCTGATCAGCTAATTATTCGCGCTAAGAAAATATTGTAAAGTGAAGCTGAAAAACATAAGGTGAGCGCAATTTATAAGATTTTTAAATATATGTGACCTGGTCTACGAAAAGGGAGCTTACGTGCGAAAACTAGTTTTCTGTGAAAAAGCTGTTAAAAGTAAGCAACTCGTTTCGTTTACTCGTTTTTACTCTTCTTTCTCTACATTTTTAGTACACTTCTAAGCAAGTTAGGATTTTCTGCTTTTCACCACGTGAAAAAGCATCTCATCTTCCATCCGAATCAACCAAAAAGTGAAAATTGATTTTTTGACACCTAAGCCCCCTTTCCGTAGACCAGGTCACATATATCTGACTATATTTGTTTTATTGACAATTTGAAACACATGTGTGAAGGGTTACTCACAGTTCGAGTGTGTTATCTTGTTAATGGTTCCACCTTTCAACTTTAAAAAGTAAACTGTGAATACCCTAATAGTGTAAAACAAACTAGAGTTTCCTCGTATTTGCGCGCAAGTTCAAACGACTGAAAATCTGCCTTTCATCGGATAGAACCCGGGCCGTCGAGGGAGATTTCGTTTAGCACTCAATAAATTTTTACTTCCTTACTGAAAATTTTTTGTAAAATCAGTTTTGCATGTGCAGTTTCAAGTGTGTGTTTTCATAGTTATCTAATAGCCAAAACTAAATCTGAGATATAATATGATGATTAGGGAATCCTTTTCAAAATCATGTTTTTACTGGGCATCTTCAAATGGAAATGGTTAAGTTATCTTTACGAATCATGAAATTTTCTTTAAAATGGCATTCAATGGTTAGTGCATATTTTTGCACATTTTGCAGTAAATACGTGGTTTTGCATACATATTGCGCATGTTTTAGTATATTTTACAATAAATGCGTATGCTTTTTTTGCATATTCTTACTTTTTTTGATTTACAACCATTTAGATTTAGTGCGAAATCTCTGGAAAAAAAATACCTATAATTATTTCCGAAATATTCATCTGAATATCTTCTCGGATAGCCAAGCAATCATTAAGGAACTCTCTTCTACCTCTGTTAGATCTCAACTATTGGAACACTGTAGAATAGAGCTGGCCTATATGTCCGATCAATACGAGATTACTATGTCCTGGGAAATAGGGACATTTACGGAAACAAGGCAGCGGATGAACTAGCTAGGTGCGGCTCCGCACAGAATGTGTCCCACGCAAAGATTACCGAAATTTATTACTTGAAGGCCAAACAGAGATGGAACCATACAGGATCGTACAGGATTACGCGGGAGTTCTGGGTGTCCTACGACCCATTTAAAACCAAAGCTATCTTAGGAATGAGCAAAGAAGATACCTAAAAACTTACTTCAGTGTGCACAGGGTACTGGCCCGTTGGGGTACATGAAGAAAAGATTTGATTTCCCTTCAACAAGTTCTGTCGCAGTTGCGACGACCCTGGTTCAAATAGACTTCCTGTGTGAGTGTCCAGACCTCGCAAGGATGAGGCTTAAGATACTCGGTAAGCCATTCCTGCAGAATGTTTTAAGAGTGCAACTGCTTCTCTCTATATGACGTACTGAAATTCATTAAAGCCGCCAAATGGCTTTAGGTTATACGAGTTGTGAAATCGAAATGGCGACTTGCTAATTGCTTTCTACCAGGACGAAAATCCACTTAAACAAACCAAACATTCATCTGAACCAGGATTAAACTGTCAATGTTTATATTTATACAAGATTGTAACTTTCTGCTTGATTATAAACTAATTTTATACATAAATGTATCTTGAATTTTGAAGGGAATTGTTTTCGTTACTTTCTGGTTAAAATACATGTCGAGCCCTAACCGCCAAAATAACGTAAGCGACATTTTTTTCAAAATTTTCTTTTTGATGCAGAAATATTCCTAGAGCGTCTAGATGCAATTCTGCATCAAAAATAAAATTTTGAAAAAAATGTCGCTTACGTTATTTTGGCGGTTAGGGCTCGATGTGTTATATATTTTTTTACCAGCAACAAAATATCAGGGAAATATTTTTAGTTGCATATTTTACTCGTTTATAGAGCATGTTTTTGAATCTTGAGCGTATATTATATGCGCATATTTTTCACGTTTAAGTGCATGAGATTCCGAGCCCTGATGATCATATATTTAAAGATGCCCTGTTTTTGTTTTGGTCAAATATATCGAGCCCTAACCGTCAAAATAACGTAAGCGACCATTTTTTCAAAATTTTCTTTTTAATGCAGAAATATATCTACACCTTTTCCAACAGTATTTCAGAAAAACACAAATGTATTTTAGAAAAGGCCAAACGTATTTCAGAAAACCTCAAATGTATTTCAGAAAAGCGCAAATGTATTTCAGAAAAACACAAATGTATTTCAGAAAAACGCAATTGAATTTCAGAAAAGGCCAAATGTATTTCAGAAAAACTCAAATGTATTTCAGAAAATTTCAAATGTATTTCAGAAAAACTCAAATGTATTTCAGAAAAAGGCAAATGTATTTCAGAAAAGGCCAAATGAAATTCAGAAAAACACAAATGTATTTCCGAAAAGCACAAATGTAATTCAGAAAAACGCAAATGTATTTCAGAAAAATATTTTTAGAATATTTTCAAACTAGGTAAACTTTTGCAATGGCAAACCTCCGAGTGTATTTCTGCCCTGAAAAAGCTTGTCCTAAAATGCATTCGCCGTTCGGAGGCGGGGTAAAACTATACGTCCCTCCACTTTGTATGACAACACCAAATACTTAACAAACTGTAAGCGCCATAATATTATATTATTATAAATCCATTTACAAATTAAACCTCTACCCTTCCATCTATTCTTGCTACGACCAATTGAATAAACCAGTGATAAACTTGAATAATGCAACACTTGTAACGGCGAGATTTTATTTACACATATGTATAAGTATTTATGTAGATGTACATACATATGTTTATTACATGCCAACAGGCATGTCGCGCAATGCCAAAGCATCTGCAAAAAAAAATAGATGAGTGCTGAATAGCTCGAGCACAATCAGCAGTAGATATGGTTTCTTTCGCTTGCAGTATTATTTGTTCCATATACTGCAGTCGCCTTTCTACCACACCAGGTCCGTCCGCGGATGGAACGCCCATATTCGATTTTACATAATTCTTTACCTTAGCCCAAACATTTTCTATGGGGTTCAGCATGGGCGAGTATGGCCCCAGACGCAAAAGGATGGGTGACCCATTACTACCCACCACTTGTTCAAGTCCAGCATGGCATGGTGTATTGTCGCAGACTAACACTAAATCGCTAAGTACGTTGCCCATGCTGGTCCATTTTTCAAAAAGTCCGCGGACCCACTCAGCGGCGCTCTCTTTTTTAAATGACCCGCGCCGCGTTTCCATGCTCAGTACACCGGATGTACTGATGGCTCCAATTAGGTGTACGTTGGGTCCCCTTGATGGTGGCAGCGTTAAAACCGCTCGTGTGCCAGACCGGGCGCGACCTTTTGTCCGACGGCAAAACAAATTAAAATTGGTTTCGTCCAAATATACAATTTGTTTGCCTTGCTGTATATATCCGCTCAACGCAGTCACGAATTCTGCGCGTTTGTTTTTATTTACGGCGGAATTCATGTTGGCAGGCATATTATGAACGTTTTTAATGGTATACAGCCTACCATCTAAATAATTAGCCACGGAAGACTTGGAAATGTCTTTTTGCAACTCCGCTTGCACTTTTACGGCTATATTCTTCAGCGTTATAGTAGGATCCTCTTCCACCCAACGTATTAACGTGTCGACCTCGTCTTCAGACAACCTTTTTT